GCACCACTGTACCCCAGCCTGGGTGACAGAGAGAGACTACATCTCAAAAAAAAAAAAAGAAAAGAAAAAGAAAAGAAACTTGTTTGTTTTATATTTAATAAAAAAAAAAAAAATGAAGACATAGTTGTTTTCTTACACAAAAAATATTAAATTTAAAAAAAAAAAAAAAGTTGTATCCAAATCGTGTTAACTTGAAAAACATTTGGATCGAAAAAAAAAAAAATAGGAGTTTGGGTAATATTTATTTATCAATGATTTTTTTTTTAAAAAAAAAAAAAGAATAGAACACTTTTAGAGGATTTTATAAATGAATTTTGCAGAAAAAAAAAAAAATAAGAAAAATCACATATACAGAACATACATTAATAGACATACAAAAAAAAAAAAAGATCTCATAGCTTTCATCCTGAAATTTTAGTCACGAATCAGGAAAAAAAAAAAAAACGGTTAATTTTAGATGTCTGCTGGATTGGATTAAGAGATACAAAAAAAAAAAAAAAAGCACAGTTTCTGGGCATAAGTGTGAGGGTGTTTCTGGAAAAAAAAAAAAAAAGGAAGATCCACTCTGACCCAATGTGGATGGGCACTGATACGAAAAAAAAAAAAAATCACCCAGATCTCATCTTGAATTTTAGCTCCTATAATCCTTACATGTTGTGGGAAGGACCCGGTGGGGGACGACTGAATCATGGTGGTGGTTACTGCCATGCTGTTCTCATGATAGTGAGTGAGTTCTCATGGTATGATGATTTTATAAGGGAAAAAAAAAAAAAGGCTTAGCACTTCTTGCTGCTGCCATGTGAAGAAAGACATCTAAAAAAAAAAAAACGTCATGATTGTGAGGCCCCTCCAGCCATGTGGAACTGTCAGAAAAAAAAAAAAATTTGTTCTTTGTAAATTGCTCAGAGTCAGGTACTTCTTCATAAAAAAAAAAAAAAAGACTAATACAGGCACCATCCAATTGCTTGAGAGCCCAGATAAAAAAAAAAAAAAGAGGAAAGGTGAATTATCTCCTTCTGAAACGGAAACATCCTTAAAAAAAAAAAAACATCAGAACTTCAGGGTCTCAGGCCTTTGGCCTCAGAACGAGAAAAAAAAAAAAAGCTTAACTGATTCTGAGTCCTTTGGACATGGACTGAGCAATGAAAAAAAAAAAAATGGTTCCCCAACTTGGAGACAGCCTATCATGGACTTTCTCAGAAAAAAAAAAAAAGTGAACCTTCTCTCATCTGTCTATCTACATATATCCTACAGAAAAAAAAAAAAAAGGGAACCCTGACTAATGTGATGACAATAATACAAAATTCACTAAAAAAAAAAAAAAACTTGGTTTTTGTCTTTACCCCATTTTATGTTTGTATTATAAAAAAAAAAAAAAAAAATGAAACAAGTTATTATCTTCTTCATATGAGGGCTAAAGCTTTTTATCACCAACGTTTTTGGAGATTTTTAAGATTTTCAAGATTTTCTTTTGAAAAAAAAAAAAAAAAAGCTGATAATTAAATTTTATTTTTTCTATTTTATTTTTCAAAAAAAAAAAAAAGCTTTTGCAGATCCTTGAGCACATTGAGAGCCTCCAAGGCATAAAAAAAAAAAAATAAAGTTTCAGTGATTATAGGGAGTTGAGAGACTCAATTAGGAAAAAAAAAAAAAAAAGGAGGCAATTTGGAAGATCAAAATTTTCTCAAAAGAACTAAAAAAAAAAAAAATAATTCTTAGTAAAGTCATGCAAACAGGAAAGGAAGTAGACAGAATTAGCTCCATATTGGTGGAACACATAGTCAGCAGAGGTTTGAGAAGGGAGAATTTAAAAAAAAAAAAAGTTCCCATGAAAGGAGCAAGATCAAGATCACAGAGACACCATAAAAAAAAAAAAAAGGAATAACTTCCAACCCAGGAGGAGAACATAGAGGCCTCAAAAAAAAAAAAAAAATAAGAAAATTCTAGCCCAAGAGTTACCTTTCAGACAAAGAAAAAAAAAAAAAAAACCCACCTTCAGAGAGTACTCACTCAAAATGTTATTCAAACTAAAAAAAAAAAAATGACAGCCCTGCATGCAAAAGGCATTCCGTAAGGTGGCACAGAAAAAAAAAAAAACATATCCAAAGATAGCCAAGGAGAAAGAAAGACCCCTGTTGCAAAAAAAAAAAAACAAAGGCAACAAAGAAAGAGCCAAGGGTCCTTATGGGATGAGAAAAAAAAAAAAATAGACTTATACAAACTCCTGAGAACTGGCAGGATGACAACCAAAAAAAAAAAAAAAACATTTCTACTCATTGGATTACAAGTTCTCAGGCATCTAAAAAAAAAAAAAAAATGGAGATTTCTAGGGCTTCTGTGGGAGAGTATGGAAGGTCTTAAAAAAAAAAAAAATGCTGTCAACTG